CGGGAGCAAGTTCAGCTCTGGGGAATCAACCTGCCTGACCAACTGCGCCCAGAGGTTTCTCGACATGAGCGTGCTGATTGCCAAACGCTTCGAGATGCAGTGAGGCGTCCCGTCGCTCAAAGCTGTTGCCTAGTCAATCACCCTAAGTTTTTCCGTTGATTTGAGGTTCCATTGAGCGCTTCGAACGATTCAACCGGGAGTTTTATGTACTTTCTATATCTTATTCAGCCTGTTCGCTGGTTGGTTTATGGGCTGATAAGTCCGGCTGGTGCTGGTTTGTTGTGAGAGGAAAACACTGAATTATTGCCGATAAGCCCTGGCTGAAACCAACAAGCGAACAAGCTGATTATCTATTGCCTTGCTGGCAACGTGTTAAAGTGTGATTGGCATACCTGTAGCGTCCTAGGTACTTCGATTTCAGTTTGGTGAGCTCGCATAACAGGCAAAGGAGGTTTATGAGATCCAAAATATTGTTTGGTGAGTTCGTATAACAGGCGAAGGAGGAGGTTTATATGGTGCAAAATACTGTTTCGGCTCACCGATCCTACCTTTCCATTATTATTACCAGATAAAATTACCATTTTCAGGGAATGAACAGTGGGGAAGTTTTTTGTTTTTGATAAATAACAGTGGGGATGGGCCAAGTTTCAGCAACATTTGCCATTCGAGAGCTTACGGCCCAACAAGCCCATGTACGGCCTCGACACCTCCACAGTCCAGATATTTCGGTCCTGAAGCAATTACTCCGTATTAACCAGCCTCATTTACCGCTAACAAGTTAACAACACCTCACCATCCTCTCTCAAAAAAAAAACACCTCACCACTTGCGGCTTAAACCCTTGATCGCCACCGCCGCGTCGTCCCTCATCTCCGCCGTCTCGTCTCCCTTACTAGTGATAGTGGCGCGCCCATGCGCGCTGGTTGGCACCACAGATACTGTTATGTTAATACTTGAAAAGTGAAAAACACTAAATCTACTCAGTGAATGGGAATGTATGAGATAAAAGAATCGAAGAGCCAATGTAGTTAAAGTCTACATGTATCTTAATTAAATCATCTTAACAGAGTAGGCCCTGCTCATTTACAAAACACTATGGACTGACATAATGTGAGATTCTCGTCGCTGTTTTATTGTCCATAGTTGACCCTAGGCATTCACATTTTCAAGACATGCAGAACTAAAAAGATAGAGTCAGGTGCATGATGGCACACAGGTATTGTTCTTGCATAACTTAAACTTAGCGGCCAGGAAAAACAACATCAGTGATAAAGTCAGGTGCAGTCAAACACTTCACAGAATTCAACCTAATAATAAGATAATGTAACTATTAGGAAACCTATCAGTTCATTTTCGGTGTTAGAACACGAAGTGAGAGGACCTGTGTGCGCCCTTGCGCACGGGCTGGCACCACAAATAAGCACAAAGCAGAGCTAAACTGTTCGGAGATTACAAACCTAGGTAACACATTAATAACATAGAGTCAAGATGTTTGAGATTACGTACTTAAAACCACAGTAATCGATGTGTGCCCATGCGGGCGTGAAATCATTGGAATTCCATTTGGTAATGCTGGGACAGATATGACCAAGTTGATACAAAATATAATACATTATAGGATACATTGATCTCAGTAAGCAAACATAGGCATACCATTGGGGCATCACTAACACACGACAACTCAATGCAAAAACAGAATCTTCAGTTAAGGGAGCGTGTTAGGTAGTTGTCGCCGAGATGAAGCGTCGCTAAGCGCAGCCTGTAATCAATGTGGAATGAAGTCCGTCCTTAAAAACAAATCATCTGAGGCCCAATTTTCTTCTGTGCACATAAAAAAGTAAACCATGAAGCATCCAACACCCACATAAGCCGACTGTGCAAGTTCATAGATGGAGATGAAACACTTCTAAGAGATAGCCCCTAGCTACTTGTTTTTAAAGAAATTTAACATACAGCAAGACAACTGCAAAGAAACATTACAGGCTTCATGAACTTCTTTTTTGTGACGATCGTTACCAATTTCATAATAGGAGAAAATGCAGCTTTTTGGGGAACTGGGGTTAATTGCTTATTGCGTAAATTAACCAAGAAAAGAAGTGGGCATACTATAGATGCAGTGTGATGGCTGAAACCTTATGATTTTTAGTTCAACATTTGATATATCTATCTGGGACAAATAGAAATTTGTCATCACTGGCTGATGTAAAATAGTATAAGGCATGTATACAACAATAGTATAATGTAAATCATTATCTATGAAATATAGCAAATGCTCTAAACCTATAATAGTTATTGTGTTACTGAACCCACTTGTTTAGAAGTTCTAATCTTGTTTATCTGAAGAAACAATGCAGGTGACATATTGCTTCGCTAGACAGCCCAGGCACCTCCTTGCTGCTATTGCTAACCTACCTTACTAATATTGAAAACATATTGACAGTCCCAGAAAAAAAGCAGCAAGCAAAAGGCAAGACAGTCCAAGAAAAAAATGGGACATGGAACCTCATAGGTGCGCCATGTAGGAATTAGAAATTGAAAGAAGGCAATGACATTCACCTTATTTGCATACTCGTGTCTTCCTGGATTGCACCCATGTAAAAGGACTATAATTTTGTCACTGTGTGCAACTGCAATTAAGCCATTATTCATAAGCTTAATGGCAAATGTAACTGTAGAAGGTCAGAATAAAAATGATTGGTATAAACATAACCAAATCCATCCAATGTAACTATTCATTTCAGTTAACCAATTTACAGTATCTAACCAGCAAAAGAAACTGACAAGCTTAACATTTTCGTTTCAGTTATTTCAGTCATGGTCGAACTTATGGGAAACATGTACGCCTGAATGCTAAGCTAAACATAGAGCTATAATCTTCCACCTAATTTTACTAATTTTTATAGATATCCCATGCATTCATAATGTAGAAAATCGAGCATCATCGATTCTTAATTCTCTTTGCTTTGTATGAACTAAAAGCTTCAGCTTATATGGGACCCAAGCTAACAAAGGAAGACAAACAACTCACCTAAACCAGAAATGCACACAAATAACTAAAAGCTTCAATTATATAACAACACTCGCCACCGTCAAGAACCATACTGCACAATGCGCATGAGGGGGGTCGTGCACACACACCAACTGCAGTTGCGACATACCCTCCAAGAACTCCTCATGGTCAGTACACCGCAGCCTCCTCCAAATCAACCCAGCAGATTATTCGGTAACTCATAGGTAATTACAGTCATCCAACCATGAAAGTGGCAATGTTCAGGTTATTACCTTATTGCAGGCAGCCTTGAAATTGAAATAGGAGTGTTCTGTAAAGCTGATGCCAATTCATGAATTGTTCTTAGTTCTCACAAGCAAACCTGAAAAGAGCTGACACCAATTCATGAATTGAATGTTATATTTCTTGGCTACAAACGAAAATATGAAGCAAAAAACGTCAATGAACAAAGTGACATACATATGAAAAACGAAAGCCCCGCCTAAATGTTTGACTCAACGTCCACTTAGGTGGCATTTTCATAGGACCATCTTGTTATCAAGATCCTAAATGGCAATACCTCGATGAATATGCAATTGTTTCAATACTTGGCACATTTAATCCTAGATAATTAAGTCAGTGAAGATAGAAAAAAAGAGAACTGAAAAGTAATCTCTTTGTATGGTATGGCTCAGAAAATATGGCCTTGGAATATTCTTAGATGCAATACTGCATAATGCTTGTCCGTTACTAATATATATGGTCATTACTAATACAAATGGCCAAGAAAAATTCTATTAGAAACGGACCAAACCTTTTTTTTCCAGAAATGGACCATTTTTTGGCTTGCATATCACAACTGTTCCAACACAATACATTGTCACAAAGGCCAAACTTTTAATTCATAATCAAATCAAGCCAACACAATGAAAAAAATCAGGTAGGAGACTGAATTAGGAGGCGTCTTTATATCTCTATTAGTCCATTTTCTTTGTGTTAGAACACCAAGTGAAAGGCTTTGCAAGTAGTATAAGTTGAACTAACTCAGATCGGTTCAGATCATTTTCTCAAGCAGTAGCAGTGGCAAGCGTGCATACGCGGATGGGGCATGGAACTTGTCGATGGTGTGCATGTTGACATGAGACACCTCAGATCTAATGCAAACTGCGCAGCAAGAAGAAAAGTCGGTGTTGTCGACATATATAAAGAACAGATCATGACACCGCCAACCAATAAAAAATGAAAGAACAAAAAAAAAACGCATCGAATTGCTCCAAGGTTTGAACGACATCGATCCAAATTTGAGGGCACTTTGCCATGGCCTAGCCCACCTCGGACCGACCAGTGTGCCCACCACTGCAGCTCGGCCACGAGGGCACAGCGGCTCTTCACCCAAGACGGCACACCACAAGCGCTGGAGGACCGATCCGACCATGGAGGCACCGGATCCAACCATGGAGGCCCCGGATCGACCCAAAGAAAGAAGGCAACAAGCACAGATCGACACAGCCCATCGGTGAAGGAAAGAGAGGAGCAGGGTGGGAGGCAACCTTCACTGCGTCACTCGCTCACGGAGCCCGAGCCCCAAGGGGGACGCCTTTAGGGGCAGCACCCACAGCGGCCGGGCGCTGCTCATTGCTGCCAGCAGATGCTGGCTGGGGAAAGCGTCGCTAAAGCGCCATGCATGTGCCGCCGCCTCGCCTTGAGCCGAGAGAGCCGGAGAGCCGAAAGCCGCTGCCGCCCTGCCGCTGCTTCTTCTTTAGGCTAAGGGCAGACCTCGCCTGCAGGCTTGTAGCCGCCGCCACGAGAGAGAGGAGGGAGAGGGAGGAGACGCACGAGAGAGCTAGGGTTGGGTTGGAGGCAGTATATACTCGCCGAGGCCCCCGCGCGGTTTTGGGCAGACGGGCAAAACGGCACAAGAACCACAGATCACGAATCAGACGGGCAAAATTTTTTTTGCTACCGTGGACATGCTGGCATCGCGAGCTGGCCACAACGAATTTACTCTTTAGATGGCGTCGGCGTCGAGCGCGCTCCTCCTCTCCCGTGCGCTCCAGGCCGGCGCCGCATCTCGAAGTGTCCCCACCCTCCTGCGCCCGCTCGCTGCGGCCGCGAGCCTCCTCTCGGCGGGGGCGGCGGCGGCCGCGCCCGACGCAGGGGTGCGGTGCTTTGCGACCCAGCCGGCGACATCCTCGCTGCAGGACTCGTCCCCGAACTGGAGCAAACGGCCGCCCAAGGAGACGATCCTCCTCGACAGGTGCGACTTTGAGCACTGGCTCGTCGTCATGGAGCCGCCGCCTGGTGACGCCTCCAACCCCGACATCACGCGCGACGAGATCATCGATAGCTACATTAAGACCCTCGCCCAAGTCGTCGGGAGGTATATATCGCTGAATTTATTTTTCTTTTTTAGTTGTTGTTGGTGTGTTTCTGCTAGGACTGATAAAAGTGCTCTGGTGTAGCATGACTGCAAGAGTGCCGAGAGTAGAGTTTGATTTAGTGGCATTAGGACAAATTGGATCTCTTACAGCTTGATCAGAATGGATCTGTTGGTATTATTGATACTAGCATGCGGGCCTTATCGCATTCATCTTGAAATGCAATTTTTTAGAAAAAAATTGATTTTGTTTTTGGTGATTGTACAAATTATAAGAGCATGTTAATAATTTAGCTAATAGCTCAACTAATAGGTCAAAATGAACTATGTAGCTGATAAAAAGTTATTAACTAGAGTATGTTTCAAACATTAAGTCATTTTAGATTTTTCCTAAGTCAAATTTGTCTAACTTTGATCAAATTTATGAAAAATATATTAGCATCTAATCTTTTACATATGAATCCGGCCTCAAAAGCTGGCCGGCCAGCGTGCCACGTCACAGGATTTTCGAGGCCGTTCGATCGGGCGCGCGGACGGTCAGATCGGGCTAGCCGCGGTCATTTTTTGAAAAACTCCTTCTATTTTTCGAAAATCAACCCACCCTCCAGAGGCCCTCTCAGTATATTTTGCAGAAAACACCTCATATTATTTCGAAATCAACCCGCAGTCCAGATCGGAACGAAGGCCCAATGCAGGCACGCGGTCAGTGGCCACAGGTAAGGATGGCAACGGGAATATACCCGTCGGGTATCGCCGGAACGTTCTCTTCCCCGCTACGGAGAAATCATCCCGTCCCCGTCCCCGTTAACTGTCTCGGATATAGATTCTTGCCCATCATCGCATGCCGTCGGGCACGGCTCGGTAACAGATACCCGACGGTCATCGCATACCCGATAAATAAGGACACTTGGGGTCGCAGCTTTGCAATCGGAGATGTTTCTTCTTCACTCGGGTATAAGTGTCGAAGTCTCGGAGATGCCGAGGAGAAGGAGCGAGGTTGCGAGGAGGACGAGCAAAGGTGGCAGAGAGACCTAACTGAGGAAGCGAGGGGCACGAGCGCTCGTGGGGCAGGCGTGCTTGTGCTGCTGGCGGAGATGGTGAGGAAAAATTGAACTAGGGTTCCTAGAACACACAAACTATATATATGATTGTTCAGATTTGGACCAAAATACCTATATTGAGCTTTTTTGGGCCTAATACTCGCATGACAGCTCAAATAGTCGGGTTCCCCAACGGGTAACGGGAATGGGTAAACATGGAACGTTCCCGTACCCACTATATCCATCGGGTATGGATTCTTACCCATTTAGATGCCCGCGGATAAAGATATGATTCCATCCTCATCTCCTAATGGATCAAATAGGGCCCGTTGCCATCTTTAGCCACAGGCTCTTCCTTCCTCCCTCCTGTTCGGCTGTTCGTCCAATTCCCCAGCCTCGACCCAAACCCTAGCGCGCATCCGGCTCGGTGGGCGGCAGCTCCTGTTCGAGGCACGGCTGCGGCAGCGGGCGACGAGGCGAGGCGCAGCGGCGGCGGGCGGTGGGCGGGCGACTGCGCGTGCGCGAGGCGCGAGGCACTGGCGGCGACAGCCGGCCGGCTCGGGCTTGGGGCCGCGACGCGAGCGGCTGCTGCGGTGCGCCGGGCCGGGGCTGCCGGCTGCGGCCTGTTGGCGACGGTGCTGCGAGCCACGAGATTCTCGGCCGATTTGGTCAGATTCTCTTCCGCCTCTCCCAGTTTCCATCTCAGCTCTCTCGATCCACTGCCTTCTCAATTGTGATTTGGTTTTTTGACCCTGTCGTGAGGGGCGGGGATTAGGAGCGGGGCTCACTGCAGCGCCGGCGGAGGAATTTGGACCATTAAAACAGCTAGTGTCGAGTGGTTCAATCCACACCTGCCTCCCCTTCTGTGGGCGCCGCCGCAACTCGCCTCCACCCTGTCGCTGCTTGTGGCTGCACTGCTGTCCGGGAAGTGCAAGAAGCGGTCGAGCTGCTGGCGGCGCGCCCCCACCCTCTGCACCCCCGCCACCGTGGAGGCTGGACGCACCTGAGACTACACCCTCCCTGGTATCAACTCCTACTGCTTCTTGATGCCAATACGAATGACCACTCATGCCGTGTGATTGCAATCGAAACTAATGTGAAGAACCTTTGATCTCTGATTCGTGAACTGATGAATTTGTGTGCATGTTTTAGATCCATCTTTCGATCTGACCACTTGTGCTATATGTGAGGCTGCTGTCTGAATGCCAACTTGCAGCCTCTGTGTTGTATTGTAAGAGATGTTCAGTGGATCATACTGATGAACTACAGTCTGAATGCTAATTTGTAACATTAGCTTTCATATTGTGTTCCTAAGCTCATATTATCTCTGCTATTCTAATTTATTTATTTATTTGTGGTGCTTGGATATCAATATAATGGTATATGATTAATTGTCTGTTGCTCACATTGCTATATTTTAGAAGGCAGTACTTTGCTTTACAAAAGGATTACTTCAGGGGACTAACCTTATGCTGACATATATTTTTGCCTGACTATTGATTCAATGTAGTGAAGTATAGAAGCATACTGTTTTTTCAGCTCAGTAGACTGAACATTTTCATCCTATAGTATACCATTGCCATGTTGTGCAAGAATTAATTCTCTTGTGTAACTTCCTAGCTGCCTTGCTGGTGATTTAATAGAACAATTTAATTTCTCCATGCAATACAAAATATATGTAATTTGATACAGCTGCAGAAACATCCTCAGCTTTGGTCTGATATTTGCTGTTCTCATTTGTAATTGCTTTGAGTTTATATTTAGTTTAAATGGCAGCTTATTATGATATATTTGGCTCAAGTAACTGAAGCACATATTTTTAGTAAAAGCCCCATGTTTGATGATTTAAACCACACAATGTCCTAATCCACATTTGTATATGAATTATGACAATTTTAAGTTTCTTTATCCAAAATCAACCCGAGCTCCAGAGACCCTCTCAACAATTTTTGCGAAAAACTCCTCATATTTTTCTCAAATCAACATACAAGCCACCTTTGATTGTATCTTCTTACACCTATATTCTTATTGCCATTGGCTTAATCGAAAGGGAAGGCGCGGCAAAGCCGCGCCCGCGTTTCTAGTATATCAAATAAATACACATCCAAATATGTCTTGGTTTTGATGCTATAAACTTGGTCAAAGCTAGAGAAGTTTGACTAAGGACAGAACTAAAATGATAGTACTGTTCGCTTCACTGAAAAGCCAGGCTGAAAAGTATTGTTCGCTGATTTGTTGTGAGAGAAAAACACTGTACCATGGCTGGTAAGCCAGGCTGATAAGTTCAAGCGAACACTGTACCATGATCTAGAACGGGAGAGAGTACTAGCTATTAGATAGGATCCAAACAATCTGTCTGGACCCACTAGTGCTAATAGTTAGCAACTAAAATTAGTTCTAATAGATCCAAATAGACCCACTAATTAACCAACTAACTATTAGCTAGGGAGTTGTTAACTATTACTTTTATTAGCAGGTTTGGGACAGCTAATAGGTCCCAATAGGTATTAGTAACTTATTAGTAGCTGGATCCAAATGGTTACCTGCTAATTATTAGCTAGCTAACTAGTAATAGTATGTACTGGTGGATCCAAACAGGTTCTAATAGGTTAGCTAATTGCCTCGCTAATAAAAAGTAGGGCCTAACTGATCTGCTGCTCAAAATGAAGTACGTAAGGTATTAACTGGCTTCCCTAAGTACTACTAACTATTAGATGGAGGATCCAATAGCACTCAACTAATAGGTTAGCTACTAGCCCTGCTCCTAAAAGCAGGGCCTAACTGATCTGCTGTCATCTTTTCAAATTTGTTCTTTCATTTGGTCCAGTTGTAGTTCTTAATATTTGTGCATTTTAGTTCATAAAATGCATTTCTTTTTTCTCATTTTGTCTCTGCAAGGCCTACATCTAAAACAAATTCCTTGTTTCAGTGATGAAGAAGCTAGGAAAAAGATATATTCGGTGTCAACTCGTCATTACTTCGCCTTTGGTACCCTTGTATCTGAGGAACTTTCTGACAGACTGAAAGGTATTTGTGATCTCATTAATTAATATAGGAGTAGGAAGTAACTCATTGTTGAATACCATACAATGTTTGTCTTTGGAATCTTATGCCTCTTAATCATTTGCAGAGTTGCCCAAGGTCCGCTGGGTTATTCCTGATTCATACTCGGATGTGAGAAATAAGGACTATGGAGGTACTGATAACACGTTTTGTATCCAAGTATAGACTATGGATTATTTGCATTTTCTTGGTCATGTACAAAAATCCTGCTCATTATTCTTGAATTGTACTCTTTTTCACATTCTCTTTGTTGCTTATTGACACTGTTATGTCTTTTTTTGCTTGTTGTACATAATATGCAGCAGCTGAATTTTGAAATCGAGTAATTTAAATCTTCATCATTTGTATCAGATGTAAATGTCTTCTCAAGTAATTTGCTAGTGTCCAAACAACATACTGTTCTTTGAAATTTTGCTCTCTCTACTTAATTGACTCGCCTGTTTTTCTGCCCACTAATTTTCTTTTCGTATAGGCCTGTGATGTAAAGATGTTAGTCCTTAGGGCTAACTTATAATGAGGTGCTTTGTTAAATCTCTCAGGAGATATAATAGGGTTTGCATCTCGTATGTGTTCCTTCTTGCGTCCAATACAGATATCACCACACCCATTCTTTGATCAACTATGCATGTATGCCTTTACAAGCTAGACTCTTTTTTATGTCTTGCGATGAAATTGTGGGTGATCATTGCTTATGTCCACCCATGTTTGGACAACTGATTCTGTGAGTGTCAACTTATATTGTTGAAAGTACATTTCTGTGAATGGACTCACCATTCAACGAGTTTTTGATACCTTCTACTTCCTGTTTCAGGAGAACCCTTCATAAATGGTGAAGCCGTTCCTTATGATCCTAAATACCATGAGTGGGTGAGACACAACCTCAGAAGTACGGGTCTAACCCCGTTTGCGAAAAAAAAGAGACAACCTCACCGGACGGTCACACCGTGGTGGTGGCAATCCCGGCTACCCTGGTGGCGGCCCAGGCTACCAAGGCCAAGGAAGCTACTCAGACGACCAAGGCGAAGGAAGCGACTCAGACTACCAAGGCGAAGGAAGCGACTCGGACGACCAATGAGTAAGGATGAAAACGGTACGGATATTTTCCGATCGTATTCGAAACCGAATCCGTTTAGAGGGGTTGAGATCTATCCGTATCCGAGTCCGGATATCTAACATCCGATACCGTATCCATATCCGAATACTCAAATCGCATATTTATGATGTCGATATCCAATCGTATCCTATCCGACATAGTTGACACTATCCGTATTCGAATCCGAATCCGGACAGAAATATGAAAATAAATGTAATATCGGTGATATCTGTCCGTATCCGATCCTTTTTCATCCCTACCAATGAGCATGGCCAGGAGTATAACTGTATATAAGCAGGCATCCCTGTTCCAGAGTAGCCTTCTGGAAGAGAAGATGGTGCGCATCAAAAGTATAAATTTTCATGGATTGTTGCAGTAGTCTCCTAATTATTATGTTTTATAATAGGATTAAGTACAATTTTGCCCATCAACTATCGTGTTCGTTTGATTTTAACCCACAACTACAAAACTGTCTAGTGTTGGTACCATAACTGTTTAAATCGTTCACTTTTAGCACCTCGTCGCGGGTGTGGCGGTTTTGTCGGAAGTGGAGCGGTTTTAACCATGTCAAGCTAGCGTTGACCGTGCCACGCTAGCCCTCTCTTTCCTCCCGTCACCGGCAGCGCAAGCAGCATGGCGGTACGCGAGCAGGCTACGTGGCGGCGCGCGAGCAGGGCGGTGGCGCTCGAGCAGGCTACGGATGCGGACGCCGCCTCCCTGCGCTGCAGCAGCTCGCTGAGGATGCCGCCTCCATGATAGGAACATGACCAGGTATATAGGTCAGGGGAGAGGAGGCGAGCGATTAGGGGAGATAGATAGATAGAGACAGTGCGCTCTACTGCACTAGCTGCTCAACTCAGACCTCTTGGCGTTGGCGGAGCAGCGGCGGCTGAGCTCTCAGCTCAGCTCCGAGGACCGGAGGAGGAGGAGGAGGAGGAAGAAGAGATTTTTATTCGGATCAGATCCACTGCGCGTAGCGTAGCCTCCTTTTTATCTGCTCCCGGCCGCCGCTGCTGCTGCGGTAGGCGGCAGTAACGAAATCTAGGCTCTATCTACAGTGCGCAAGCAGCGAAATTTTAAATCTTTGCGTCGCTCACTTGTAGTCCGCAGCAGCAGCTTCTTCTCTGCTCACTGCTGCGGAATCCATCCATCCCCTATATAAGTGTGGCTTGGACGGCGCTTCCCTTCCCATCCGACACCGGCGCGCCAGCGGGTGGGTCGCGTCCTCCCCCCCAGGCCAGCGGGGACGACCTCTCCCTCGGCTTCAATGCCAGCGTGACTGCCATGAACTACGGGATGGCCGACGTGGGGATGGTCGTTGTCGCGCCCGCCGCCTCTTTCCACCACACGCACCATCACCACCACCACCACGAGGCCGCCTCGCAGCCCGCCGGCGTGAGCGCTAGCAGCTCGCCGCCTCTGGCTCCACCTTCTCCTCCCCCGCCACTGCTTCCGCGGCAGCCGTCGCCTCGTTCGCGTCCAAGAAACCTCGCCTCCCCTCGTCGCAGACCACCACCTCGCACGGCGAATGATTGCAAGGGGAGCAGCGGCTACAGTGCGCGGCTGGTGGTGCTTGAGCTCGGCGGAGCTAGACTACACACGAGCTGGGCGGCGGATTCGACGGCCCTCGCCCGCCTCGCAGCAGTGCAGCAGCTGCGCTCGCCGGCCATGGCGCAGCAGTCTGCTTGTCCGGTGGCGGCGACGACAACTCGACTGCATTGTCCGAATGCTGCTGGAGCTGGAGGAAGGACGGGAGGGAATGAGTGGGTGACGCGCGGGCCCCACATGCATGTCACTGAGATGTAGGCCAGCGTCCTACGTGGCGGTCAATGCCAGCGTGGCATGGTCAAACCCGTTCCACGCCGGACAAAACCGCCTCTTCCACGCACAGGTGCTAAAAGTGAACGGTTTTGACAGTTATGGTACCAACACTAGACGGTTTTGATAGTTGGGAGTTAAAATCAGACGAGCACAATAGTTAAGGGGTCAAAAGTGGACTTAATCCTTTATAATAATACCTGAACCTGTGCTTGGTGTCTGAGTGATGTTCCTGGAAGTCGGAAACTGTTGGATGATGGTATGGTATATGTACCATCTGCTCTTGTATGCGCTTGCTTGCTGAACCAGATAGTTCGCAGATGCCATAGTATGCTTCGTCTGTCCTGTTCGTTTGTTGCTGGGGCGCACGATTGGGATGTTTGGTCGGATAACTGAATGGTTGGTTAACCACCAGCTTGTTACAGGCCATTTCTGCTCAGATTATGTGATGTTTGGTGATCCATTCCATCATGTGTAGGAAAAGCAGTCACCTGTATGCTAATATTTGGTGATTGGTGATTTCATTCAATCAAGTATTATGGGAAAACCAATAACCTGTATGCTGATGTTTTGTGATTGGTGACCCATACCCGTTCCATCCAGTACAGGAAAACCAATCACAATCTTTGCAGTTTCTTCACGGAAGTGGAGCCCGTAGTTAGTCGCAAGCGGCCAATCACTGGTTTCTCGGCCCAGGCCCAACTGCAGCGGAGCGGAGAGGAGGTCCACGACCCCAGAAGAACATCCGGGCCCACCACTCCGGCCAGCCGCGCGCTGCCCACGGCAACTGCTGCTACGCGCACCCCGAGACGTCCACCCCCCCTGCGCGCGCGCAGGCGCGGACGCAGACGAGACGGGAGACGACACGCGCGCACGTCCCAAAGCCAACTCGAGAGCGTGGTGGAGCCGAGGACCGGTGGAGGAGAGGAGAGAGCCCACCACCCGCGGAGACCTCCTCCCCTCCCAGCCAGGCTCCCTCCCACCCACCTTTCCCCCCTCTCCCTCCTTCCCGTCCCGCGTCGCGTCCCACGCCGCCGCACCCCCGCCTCCGCGGCAGCGCTCCTCCTCGCCGTGCGGACGTCGGGGAGGCCTCGCTCGCGGGAGGGCTGCCTGGCTGTCTGGCTGGCTGCTTGGCTGGTTGGGTGACAGTCGGCCGTAGAGGAGGAGGGGGGGCGGAGGAGCTTGATCTGGGGCACCTGCCCCCGGGCGCCGTCGGGATGTACGTGCCGCCGCTGCCCACCGGCGGCGCCGGCGAGCAGCCTAGGGTTTATCAGGTCTGGCGGGGAAGCAACGTAAGAAATCTCTACCTGCCACCCCCTCCTTCCTCTCCCCATCTGCAGTGATCCGTGAGACGGTGGTGGAATTGTAACTGTTGATTTTGCCTCGTACCTGCTGCTACTGCCCCGATTGCGCGGGCGATTGCTTGATTAGGGAATTTATTTATCGTCCTGGTCCATGTTGTTGCAGTAGCTCCTGTTGTGCAAGTCCCGGTATGCAGGCTGGAACAGGGGGATTTTGCGTATTGGATAATTAGGAAAACGATTAGTAGCTCAGGCCCTGGACGATTCTGTGAGCTCTTAAACTTCCTTTGAAATGTAGGTCCCTATTACAAAACACGCACACTAGTTATACCCATAGTCACAGAAAACAGAGTTAAGGCAGCGAGACCCTTCGAGAACGTCGTCACCGACCAGGATACTCGGGTTGTTTTCGACCTTGCCTTTAAAACCTCTCACAAATAATGTACCACGTTCCTCGACCCCATTGACTCGGGAACTCTGTGACTATGGTTATACCCATTCACTCATATAGTTGTACCCTATTGCTGTGATAAACTTTTAGCGTCATGATGTACACATCATTTTTAGTTATATGAGAGGAATACTTCTTTGAGCAGGACGTTCAGTAGAATTCAGTTGGAATTGTTTTGTACTGGTACACCATCTGTGATTTAATGATGGCATCGGCCTGTAATGTATAGTGGATCTTCGTTATACTGCCTAACTAGTAGGGACTTGAAACGGTTTGTTATGTTTTTTTTGGTGCGGCATCTATACAAAATTCTAAGCCATAGGATAAAGCCTGCAACGTGAAAAGCTCAATTCGGGTCACTGTTTCTTAGTCTTCATGTGAACTATAATCAACCTTTGTTGTACCCTGATCCCTTCGTTAGCATATTGCCAGTGCCAGCAATTAGAAACCAGAAAAATAAGCAGGTAGCAGGCTGCACCACCAGGCAGGTAGGAGATACATGAGTTCACCGGATTGGAGCACGGTCCATCATAATCGGAATTCTATGGATGCATACATGTTCTGTTTTATACGCTTCAAATCTTCTGTTACAGTTTTATAACTTTTCCTTGATCATTTCATTTGGCATTGTTCGAAACTGACACGTGTCTACCGGGGAATCAATAGTTTTCTGGCTATTGCTAATATTTTAATGAGCGGTGGCCATGGATATTAAGGCGTCGCCTAGGCTATAAGGCGTGCTGGAAATCTGGGCGTCCCTGTCGCTACTACCAAAAGTCATCGAAAAGAGAGGAAGTGAGAACAGAGAAAGAACGAG